GTTTTTCAAGAGTTTGATACTTTTTTATCTTCTTAAGGATAGAAAGTAAGGTTGTTCGGATGAATAAAAGCTTCACTTTAATGCTCAAAAAAAGGTTGTTGTAAATGAAAAGTGAGTGAGGTATTTATAGCACTTAAACCGACCAAAACTTTGTCCATCCGGACAAGGCATCCGGATGTCTGAATGGTCTAAAATACTAGCCGTTTGAAGATGTCAGAATGGTCAAAAAAGTGACCGTTGGGAGTCATCCGGACGTTCGGATGGACATTTTGCCCCCAAACGTTTTCTTACTTGATTTTTCATTTAATGTTATTTCTTGAAGTACTTTTCCACGTATTATTTTTAAAGTAAATGACTCGATAAAGACTTTATGCAATCATTTTATTTTGAAAATAATTTTTCTTATGCATAAAAAATTTACTTTGAGCTCTTAGTAATTGTTTGNCAGACATTTTCTTGCGTGATTTTTCGTTTGATGTATTTTCTTGAAGTACTTTCTCACGTATTATTTTCAAGGTAAGTGACCTGATAAAAATTTTATGCAATCATTTAGTTTTGAAAATAATTTTTCTTATGCATAAAAAATTTACTTTGAGCTCTTAGTAATTGTTTGCCCAATGTTGAAGCATTTTACCTTTGCATGAGTTCGAAATGTTTAAGTACTATGTTTTGAATATCTTGGCGTGCATTGCTTGATCATTCATAGACTTTGTCTCAATTCTTTTTTAGGCTACTTTTCGCATGTTTCAATTCAAATCCTCGATTTGCGAATTTGTTTTAGTGTCGATCTTCATGCATAAATTTACGCCACCTCGAACTTCAAGTCAGCTCTTCCCTGCACACGTAGCACGTCATTAGTCACCCATGGCCTTTCTCGGATAAGCTGGGAGCGATCGTGAGGACTCCGACTGTCAAGTCAGTTTAAGGTTCAACCGAAAAAGGTTTATCGGTGAAAGGACACTCGCCGAGAAATGGTTGATAAAATGTGTGGTGATAATGTGTCAATATTTAAAGGAGATGATGATACTTAAGTTTGAA